TTATTATCACTACTATTCGGAAAACTTTGGGTTCTGCCGGCATTACTATGCGGTATTCTGATTGGTTAATGGTGTTTTTGACCCACCGGGTCAAAGGACACATGCCGGTCAACTAATACGTCACAATTATCATGGCGGTCTGTGTTTTTCACCAAAGCGATTGAGTGATCAAAAATAATCACTCAAAGTAACATTTTTTGCATGGCATGACTGAGTAAGAGGAATTATTGGTATAACCGGTGTATAACATCGCAAAGTAACTTAAGTCACATCGTAACGTTGATGATCGTTTGGAAGTTTTATTTGTTCGTTCATTACTGTAAATGTAAACGTTGTAGAAGCTGATGGTACGAATAATGAACAATTTTTTGAAGAAGAATGTTTTTGTAGTAAATAAGATCATGGAAGTCGAGAACATATTACTGGCTGAAACGTTTCAAATGTGTTTCATTTAGCCTTTTACAATTTATTTGTTTGTTTGTTTTTAATAGTCTGCAGCATTTGCATTTTGATTCGACAATGTTTCATATTTAATTTCAAACCCTTCTAAATTGTGAAACGTAATATTTTGACTCCAATAGAAAAACTATTTGCACTGTGACTGAGCTCATTAATATTACAAAAGTGCCCAAAAGAATAGTGTTTATAACACTGTGTGAAGCAAATACATATGTGCCACATTGTTTTTGAAAATTTATGTTGTTTGTTATGTGGGTGTAAATGAGCTTTGGTCAATCTCTATTATTATGTAAATGATATGCAAATCATATGCAAATTAGTCCGCCACAGTGGTTTAAATTCCTGGGGAGAACACTGCACCAGTAACTCCAGCTGACCTCGCATCTCTCTCAACTGCCTCTTTCCATCTTGTCGGGTGCCTTCCTCTCTTCCGCCGACCGCCTACATCCTCTGGATTCCAATCTATCAGGGCCCTAGGTTGGCTCTCTGGCCCCATACGACATACATGTCCGAACCATCGGAGTGGCCTTTGCCACAACCGTAGGGAGACTGGTGGCTGTTGAGTTCTCTCCCTGATGGCTGAATTCCGTTCTCGATGGAACCATCGTACTCCCAGGATCCTTCTGAGGCACTGATTGTCAAAGGCATCCAGCTCGTGTTCTTCCCTGAGGGTGGTAGTCCATGTCTCTGCTCCGTACAGTAGTTTGGTGATTATCACAGCATTGTAACAAAGTATTTTCCCCTGGTGAACCGATCAAGAGGATATTGCTGAAACAATTTGCAAGCAGTTTTAAGTTCATTTCGAATTTCCCAGCACTCTCTATCAAACCATAATTTGGTTTCTCTTTTTTTCTTTTTTCTAATTTTGGGTGTTATTTTTTTGACAGTTTTGTCCGCGACTGATGACAGCAAAGCTCTAAATTCTGTAACAACAACATCACAATTGTTTGAATGTCGCTAATTTCATTTTCTTTAGCAATTTCAAGAAGTTGCCTAAAATTTAGTTTTGCTTCACTGTCCCAGATGTATTTGGCTGGTAGTGGTTTCATGTCCATTTTGACTTTGCGTTTTTTTAGCTCCGCTGTCGACTTTGTCGAGCGGAGCTTATCATATGAGTGATTGTCCATCGTCGTCCGGTGTCGTCCGTCGTCGTCCGTGTCAATGTTGTACTTTTTCGACTTCTTCTTGAAAACTACAAGCCTGAATGCTTTGATACTTGGTGTATATGTACCTTGGGTAGACCTCTCTTAGTTTGTTCATTTCATGTTGATATCTTCAATTCTCTAATTTTGGTGAATATTTTTGTCATTTTTGGTAAAAAGTGATATTTTCGACTTCTTGTTAAAAACCGCAAGTGCAATTGCTTTGATATTACATATA